AAACTACGTACAGAAAGACCATTATTCACTGCCAAGAATAAGACTGATGGCCTTTTAGTTGTAAGGCAGGACCACTAACCACCCTTCCGTGTAACCCGTCATTTTTAAGGTGGACTGGGAAAAAAAACTTTTGATATAAAAAAGGCGAATATGCAGAACGGGTTCTTGATAACCAGTAAGTCTTTCTTTTTTCTATTCTCACAGCGCACAGCTTTTTCAACTCTGTCCTCTCATTATCTGAAGCAAAAGTGAAACCAATCTGATATTCAAGAGCTCTCCTTTGAGCCAGGCCTAAGCCCACAGGCCTGGGATAAGAAATACAAGACACAGCACACGTCCTCATCTGAGAACAGACGCGGCTGCACTTTGTCTTTTCTCACTGGCATACGAACAGGCGTGGGGCGGGGGGTGGGGGGTGGGAGGGGAGCTGCACAACCTGCCTTGATATTTCTCCCGGCTGCAGTCATTTACATTCACGCAAAGTAGAAAAACATCAGTTGCTTTTCATTGTTTATTTCTTTCTTTTCCTCTTCTGCTCCTGTTCCACAGTGGGGCTAAGTTACCAAACAACCTTCGGGCTGCGATGCTGCACGGTCTGTTTTTAACCCTCTCCGCAGCAGCAGCACTATAAATCTCCTCTGCTCCATATTGACACGGCTATTAGCGCGAATGCTGAAACAGGATTGCCTCTCTGTCGACAGCCATAAAGTGGCATTTGGGTAACGTGTGGGTTGCATTATGATCCTTTCATCATCCGCTAACTGCTTAAACTCCTCACCTAACCTCTTTACAGTATTTGCTTATCCCGACATAAATGTAAATAAGTGTCCCGCAATCTTAGCCGCGGTGAATAATTGGATGCCTTAATGGCCGTGGAGCCGAACAGGCTGCTGGCGTATGAATATTTAAGGAAAGTGGAGCGGTTGGGACCGGGTCATCAGATGCAACAGTCATGTCCAATCTAATCACAGAGGCCATTCTGGGCTTTAATCCAGTCCTAATGGAGGTTTCCTCTGAGGGGATGGTTACGGCATAAAAACCCCTTTTTGTAACATGGAAAATAAGCCAAATGCCTAATGATGACAAATCTATGACAAGGTCATCCTACACAATGGATATGTCATCCATCAACAGCTGCCTAAGACGGATAGCTACAATCATTTCTCATTCATAGCTAAATATATTTTATTGCACAGAGTGGTTGAAAAAAAAAGTGTTTTTATCGGAAAAAATACTAAAAACTTCTTTGTAAGAAAATTTGATATAATAACTTGAGAATTTGATAGTGTGTTCAAATGTATTAACTGGAGGTAATGAGGGCACAGTTATGGCTCATTAACCTTTGGAGAAACTGAGGAAAAACGCATCTCTGTTTTCTTCTTCCTCTTCTTTTTTTCACCTGGTGTGGACTGTTGTACCTGTATCTTCATCATTTGTTATCCTTGGTTTGTGGTTCCAAAACCAAGGAGTGTGCTTTGATTTGCACAGCTACTGCTTTATTATATGTAATTTTAAGAAGGAGTGTTTTGATGGATGTCGAGGGTGAAATTGTACAATTCCTCATCACAACAATAGTCTCTAGGACAAAACGATGTCGTCTCCTCCCGAATCCTCCATTGTTCTACCCACCAGTCTAACGAGGAGAACTGTTCCGCGTGCACAGCCGTCACACTCACGTGTGGAACTCAGCTGTGAAGGAGGCTCGGTTGCCGGCAACATACCATTCGCTGACCTTTGAACCTGTCCTTGTTAAGCCCTTGATGCCAGCCTTGTGCTCAGGAGGAAACCCCCTCCGCACCTCCCCCAACACCACCAGTCATTTCTCCCCTGTCTCCCCAGACAACTACAGGCTGTACTGGCTCAGAGCTAATGGCTACACGCGAGCACTCAGGCTCGGGCGCATATGGACACGTATGCACGCACGTATAGTATTCTAGGACAGTGGCTGATGGAGGCTGACAGCTTCTCATCCCACACCCTTCGCTGCAAATCTTTGTGTATGTGTATGTGTGTGTGCCGCTCCCCCTCTTTTCTCTCGTGGTCTTCTCGCTGTTCTGACCCTGCTATCCATTTAAAAGTAACAGGACTCTGAACATTACAGCCGACCATCTCTCTCTCGCTCGCTTCCTTTTCTTTCCATTCCCATCTCCCCCTTTTTTTCTCCCTCATATGATACCCAATAATGCACTGCAACAGCTGTCAGGTGGCAAATCCCTCCCTTTCCTCCATTGTCAGAAAAAGGCTGTTGGAGTTTTTGGCCTCAGATCAAGGATCCGAGCACTCTCACTCTCTGACTCGGGCGAAATGGGCAAAAGCCTGAGAGCCGAAAGGAGGGAGGCAGAGAAAGAGCAGGGTAAGACTGAGGGCAACAGACAGTCGAGGAGCCTCGTTGCTTCCCCACTCCAGTGGTTACTAACGGATCAACAGGGTGCTAAAAGCACTCGTGGGAGGACAAAATGGAGGGTTTTAAAGAACGGGAAAAGGAGAGTGGTGGAGGAATAATGAAAGAAGGGAGAGGAGGGTGAGCGTGGTGTGCAGAGAGAGATGGGGCTGTATATTCACCCACCGTCTGTGCTCCGAGATGCACCGTCACGTACCACGAGTGAGTCGGTGGTGACGACTTTAACCGTGGCCTGCAATACTGACCAGTAATCCGTCAGTGTGTGTGGGGGAGTGGACGGCTACACTTCAGTGCATCTGTTGTCAGGGTTAACGAGTCTTTTTTTTTTTCTCGAGACGTCGTATTTGTTATCTCGAACCTGACAGCTGTGAGACTCTGAGAGTCTGAAATAATGAAGGGGCTTTCACTGTCATTCTAATGAACAACAGCGGCCACTTCAGCACTGCCTCGTCACTCCACCATTAGGGTCTTGTTTGTGTCAATTGACCGGCAGTCGTGTGGTCTTTTCTGTAGATCGGCGTCCATTGTTTGAAGACAGCACAGGAGATTAGATTTAGAGTCCTCTAAAATGTCACAAAATACATTTCAAATACTTACATTTTTATTTACATTTTATTTATTACACATTGTCAGATGTGATTTTCTACTAGTATATATACTCGTTGTTACTGTTTGCACCCCCTAGAGGCCAGACTTCAATTAGCTTCTACAGGGCAAAACATGAACATGATTTTTCTCTCTGCAAAAAATATATATATATATATTAGTCAAAAAACAGTTCAGTTTCAGTGGAAGGCATACTTTTGAACATTGGAATATACTGACCTCTTGTGTGGAACGTTCATCTCTGTCAGTCTTGGAGACAAATTACAGCATATTTTGTGGCGTTTACTTTTCTTCTCTAAATGACTGTGGCTTACAAAATGTCCTTAGAAACAAAAACTTTTTTTTTTATAAATCACTGGTTCTTTCAAATTACTTCCTTTTTTGCCACATTGTATTGCGATGGTGAAAACATCAAATCAAAGCGCTAGCTTATAAGGAATGAAATATACATTCATGCTGAGAAGCATTTACCACCTACGGTAAAGAACTAAAGAAGAAGATTCTGTAGCCGGGAGCCAAAGTTACCGTTAATTATATGTCACTCTCAGTAATGATACACTGTGAATCTCTCTCTGTTTTCGAGCCTGATGAAGACGTTGAACAGGGACATATTTTTCTCCAAGACAACTCATGGTCTTTTGGCGTATGTTATATTTATTCTGTCTCGTCAGCTTGTCCCAAAGTTAGTTTTTTTTTTTTCAATTTTACCTGTTCACTCCTCTCCGTCCTCCATTTTTATTTATGGATTCCTACCTGTGGCTGAGTGCTTTGTACAGACCCCCAGGTGCATTCTCAGGCACCTTTATATATGTAAAAATAGAGCCAGGCAGCTGACGTGGTGGGGGGGCTTCATAAACAGCACCGTGCTCTGCACGGACCCCGGCTGACATGTAATTAAAACTGAGGCAGGCTGCTTGACTCACTCATTTTCATACAGGACAGAGGGGGCACCGAGACAGAGAGGGTGACTGGATGTCTCTTAAGTTAGATGGCTGATGAAATTTTCATGTCCTCACTGCACCTAAGCCTCTATCTCTAATGTATAAATAGGGGGCCAGGGTCCCCTGGCACCATCGCTGTGTGTCACCAAAAATACTCTGGCCTCCAGACGGGGTTGAATCCATTTCCATACAGAAAGCAGAAACGCAACATGACCTATTTGGATGTATTTGACATTTTGGGGGAAAAGACTGGAGACGGTTGAGGGCAGGGACATGCCGTCCAGATGTTGTTTTTGAAAACGATGGAACTCTGAAGTGCACGTCTCCTCCTGATAAATCTCTGCGGCTTTTTCCTTCGACTACCGTTTAACCGATGGTGATTGAGCTTGAGATGAACGGCGTCCTTCTCTGTTCTGCCAACAGTGTGTCATGGCTACATGAAAGGGAACCGCTCACTGGGTGCCATTCCCATAAAGAGAGCTGAGATAAAGATTTTATCCCCCATTAAGAAGCACATGAAGCTGCTGTCTCTTCCTCAAGCCTGGTTAAGTCCTCAGACGTCTGGCCTGCCTGTGAAAGCCCCTGCCCTGCAGTCCGGATGCCTAATGGCCATGAAAGAAGACAAGTAAATGAAATAAAGGGAGTGAGAGACACACATGATGGCGAGCACAAACACTTAAGACATCGTTGCATCACTGGAACGTCGCGGTAGTCCCGCCCCACCTCCAGGTCAGACCGAACTTATTGAGTTTAGGCGATTCATCATGGCCGATTCGCCTATAGAACCAGAGTTAGCTGGGTTTTTTTTCCTTCTTTGAAGAATCTTTTCTACTTCAGCTTCGGTGCCTCTGCACTCTGTCCTGCACTGAACGTCTGTTTTAATTTAAAATAGAGACTGGTTCTCGTTCCCTTTAGGTAATTGGATTGAATGCCCGCGGTTGTAGACGCAGGGAGGGGAGCGGGACGGACGAGTGACGCTGAAATGAAACAGTGATGAAGTGTGAGCTCTTAGCTTTTATTTATCCTGTCATTTGTCTCCCTTATTCTTTTAGGAGGAGGAAGAACAGCAAAGGATCGAGCGCATAGAGCCAGTAGGGGGGGCCGACTCTTCAGTGGAGAAGCCACCAGTGTTAAGTCTAGAGTGAGTGATCCCATCTCTTCTTCAACCTACCACACACATGGTTTGGATTGGGCTGAATGACATTAAAAAATGAACACAGAAATGCATTAACTAGACGCACAAAAAATGTATGCTTTTTATATGTTTTATTTCAATTTTATTTATTTATTTATTATTTTTCTGTATTTTTCATTTCAGTATTTCTGGTACTGGTGGCTGCATACATCAATAATAAATTTACAAATACACTGATTTTATTTGCACCTAATCTCCTTATGTACATCTCCATCTACTGCTGTGTTTTTACTGTCCTCACCTGAACGCGTCCTCTTCACCTCCCTCCATTTTCAGCCGGTTCCAAATCTATTTGTTCTCCTTCAGCACGAGTCTGATCCTAATCACTTAATTGCGGCTTCTGTTGCGTTCCCAAATTGACCCCGAGGTGCAGCGGTTTGACTCTGTAATGGATGACTTTATAGAGACGGGACAACGCAGCTCCACGGACGGCACATGCCCCGTCAACCTTGTCATGTTTGTCATTGTCGTCTTTCTTATGCTGCTCTTCTGCATTTTTCTCATTATTGTTCTTGTTTTTATTCATTGCTGTCCCTTCATTCCCCCCTCATCCCGACCACCACATCCATCACTGTCCTGCAGGAGCATGCTTAAGCCGGTGGAGGTGTCCAACGAAGGGGGGCCCTTGGGGATCCACATCGTGCCTTTCAGTTCACAGGATGTCAGGTAAAAAAAATAGGGAATTAGTGCCTGGCTCATGTGCAGGATTGTGTATCGTATATATTCATTTAGCAGCCGCACCTGAGAAGTAGAGCTGAAAAACCTAGAGCTGGTTTAAGAACCTCGGTTCTGTTGTTGTTCTTCTCTTTTGTTTTAACCTCTGCCTGTGTCCACGGCCCTCGAGATAAGGCAGCTTCCACGTGCTCTGCGGAGCCGGTACGAAGTGTCGTCGACTGGGTACAAAAGAAGTAAAATCCTACCCGTTTACGTTGATTCCTGAAGAAAAGGACACAGAGGAAGTGGACAGATGTAATTAAGCTAAAAGCCCGTGTATGACACAGATTCCCTCTGTATGCCAGGGGACTGGCAGAGCACCAAGGTGATTGTGACGGCTCAGCGCGGTGAGGAGGACACAGGGGACAGAGATGAAAATTCACAGTGAGGGAATGAGATGGGATGACATTTGTGGGAGCGACAGCGGCCGTCATTGAAGACTGCTGCACGTCATCACTTTGGGACGCTAATCTTATCGTTGTTTATAAGCAAGTGTCACGAAGCTGTGTTGAGCTTTGACCTCGAGTGGTCGACTAGAAATGATGAGACTGAATGATCCTGGGCTTTTATATAAACTTTTATTGTTTAAATCAGTGGTTCTCAAACTGTGCTATGTGTACCACTAGTGGTACGTGGGGGAAATTCATATTTTCACATTTACATTTTTTAATTGAATAAATCTGAAACATACTAGTATAAAAAGTTTGAGAACCACTGGTTTAAATCCTTGAATTTATTCATTAATTAACCCTCAGCTAATAAAAGTATACGTTACACTTATCTATCGATTAGAGCGACAACAATCCATGATGAGTCAGATTCGTCTCCTATGTCAAGCACTAATAGTTGTCAGGACCTTCAGTCAACGTCAGACTAAATAAGACTTAGTGTCTGACTCATTAAATTATGTTAATGGTTTGGCCCAACTCTTTCCTGTGCACTCGGACAAGAGACAAGGCTTTGGGTGCTGTCATTAGTGTCTAAACCCGAGACCAGAGGGTCTAGAACCTGCAGGCGCTGCGACACGACGACCCATGTACGACTCAGCACGTTTTAAGCGTCGTTGATACATCTGGAGTGCTGTTCAGTGCCAGAATGAATATACTGTATTCAGACACACACACTCACTCACACACACACACTCAGGCCCGACACAGATGTATTGTTCTCTATCTAATGAACTTCTAATTCCATGACCGATTCCAGTTGTAAACAAACTACAGACATAATTGGCGTACATAAATGGACCGTGATTGGATTATGACTGTGTTTGATTAAAGGCAGTAGATTAGAGCAGGTGGCCTCCTCCAAATCAGTGCTCAGCGCCGCTGTCTGGCCACAAGATGGAGAGAAGCTCCATCAGACAAAGCAAATTCTTGTTTGTTGTTTTTTTTCTTTGTGGCAAAAATTAGATGTTCCCTTCAACAGTGATTTGCTCCCGAGTTTGCAAAGAATCCTCTAACTTCAAGCTCCATGTGCTAAACTGACGCTTAATGAATTCCCTGGCTAACAGCCTATGAGAATGCCATTTAGATTTTGCTTTAGTGCTCTTGTTTTCCCCAAGTAACTGATAAGTATCTACAAAAAACCCCATCAGTGAGAGGAAAGGGAATTGAAAGGGTGGTAGTGCATTACAATCATCGCAATAATGGTGCTTTTATGAAGGCATCATCTGCAGATGCCTAAAAGATGCCATTTTATCCTGAATCCTACCCTACCCACTTCTTTGAATACTGATGAGGGATCGAGTAAAACCCCTTTATCTCATGCCTCTCATCCGCTACCATATCAAAATCATTAGTGTCCACACCCTTGTCTAGATGCACAACGCAGCTGACTACTTCGATCCAGATCCAGCAAAATCCTGTCCATTTCCACTCTTGGCTAAGAATGACCTTATTTTCACAACACTTAAGTCGACCTGGCTCCGACTGGGCCTTTTGTGTTGCTTAATTCCTGCTTAATGCTGACACATTTACCCCCTCTGATGAGCCGATGTGGGTCTGCAGTACGGGCGTGGATGTCCACATCGTGCAGCCAATTAGAACAATGTTCTGAGAGTGGCTAAAATGCTAAAAAGCTCTGCAAAGCTGCCCTGGATGTCTACGGTAAACAGGGTCACAATTTAAGTCCTGTGGTTTATGTAGATATGGACATGAGAGGAGGACATTCAGACCAATCAGAACCTTGGAGCAGATGTCCACGATCGCCCAGGTTTTATTTATGATTTCCCAATTCTGAAAAAGCTAGCATGCCTGCTGTATATCAGTTTAAACAAGGACACAACGTGTTTCTACTAAGTCATTTTACTTGCCTGCCAGGGCATCTGACACCGAGTAAAAATTATGGAGTTTGTAGATGTGCCGTGGCAGTGCACATCAGATCTTTTCATGTGTTTATCCTCGGGGCCTTGCTAAAGCCCCGAGGAGCTCAGTGATGTATTTATCCATAGGGGAGAGTGGCATATTTCAAGGTAAAGGTTGACTACTTATAATGGATCGCTGAGATGGCACTGTTGAGGATTTTCTTGGGTATTTATTACCACACTGTCGGCTCCTGCCTTTGTGAAGGTTTTCTCTGGAGCCATAAGATGATCTCTGAGCTGTTGCTCAGGATTACCGAAGACAACGAAGCCTGTCATTCGATCAGAGCTGCCCACAGACACGGAGCAAGAGACAGACAGGGGCTTAACATTAGGTTAATAATGCATTGCTTCTCCAGGACGTAGGGAAAAATCATGAGTTTTGCCTCAGATTGAAGTTTTGAAAGTTAACTTTGTTTAATGAAACAATAAGTTCCTAACACCATAATAAAAAATCACCCTAAACATTTTACACTTTCATTACTATTAGTTTGTGTTCATGTCTGACCTCTGGCCCCATCGCCCGCAGGACTCAGGGTTTGCTGGTTAAACGCCTGGAGCAGGGAGGCAAGGCCGAAACCGAACGTCTCTTCCAGGAGAACGACTGCATCGTCAAGATCAACCAGGGAGACATTCGCAACCTGCGCTTTGAGCAGTAAGTTGATCCTTCATTCGCGATGCTCACATCTTATTTTTACTCGCCCATTTCTCCCACATTTTCTTCACTTTCCCCTGAACTGAACGTATGATCTCATGAGACACATTAGAAGCTCTGTGTGTGTGTGTGTTGAGCTTCAAATGTGGTGACAGCACGTGGTGTTGATAATGTAAGAGGAGATTAAACAGCAGAGAGACCTCACACCCACACAGCTGCACAATCAGGCTACCAAAAAGATTCCCTTCCTGTAGGCAGGGCCGGCCCATGTGGTCTTCGTTTGCTTTTTTTTTTGGCACATTGTTCTCCCTTTAGGATTCATTCTGTCAGAGAGTATAACACGTACCAGCTCCTTCATTGAGTCTATTCTATTGTGTGTTTTTTTTCTTCTATATGCCATGTTTTCAAAACAGATTATATTATTGCAAGCTGCTTAAACAGCCCTGTTGCGTTCACTGACATGTACAGAAAATCACGTGTTTTTTGATTCTTTTGAAACAGTACTTTTGTCTTTAGTAAACATTTGCTTTCTAACCTTTGCCTCTTTGGAAGCGTTGTTCAAACCGAATCCACCAGGGTGTGATGTTTTGTTGTCTTTCACAATTTGCTCCCCCTCACCCCCACCACAGAAACACAATTCTCCTCAGCCTCCAGATGCTCGTGACGTTTATAGTTCTGCATGAAAATGAAAAAGGAAAAACTTTTTCTCGTCGCCCGAACCCCCCGGGGTGCTCTCATCACTTTTCTCCCCCTAATGACGGTGCGACGAACAGAGCAACCATTTAAAGTGATCGTCTAATCTCCTTGAATTGTTTTGCATGGGTAAATATTTTGAGCCCCTTAATCTGACTGAATGTAATGATGCATCGATGGGGTAATTTATTATTCAATCAGCCTCACATGGAGGCTGATTATTGGAGTGATGATGCCGTATATGCACATGTGGACGATTTGCATATAAACACACACACACACAGACGCTCAGTCATCTCTCTCATTGTGCACATGTGAGTGTTTTTTTTTCTCTTCTTCTTCAAATTACCATAAGAATAAAGATGCGAGAACCCACAGAAGTCCCTAATACGTATTCACATTTCACCTCTGTGACACTGCCTGAATGAAGCGCCGTCTGTTTTGATGAAGGCAGCTTAGCGACTGTCATTTGAACAGAATCAACATGGTATTAAGGGTGTGGTAAGAGGTCTGAGACCATGGGTTGGGACTGTTGGATTCTAGACATCAGCCACACCTCTCATCCCCGCTGCCTGGCTTGTTCGCAGAAAGACTATCTATATGCTAAATACCTAGCTGCAAATCAGACCGAATGACTTCTGAGTCTGCGTGTGATGCTGTGATTCCTTTATTTTTTATTTTTTTGTCCTTTTCTTTTTAGCCTGAAAGGAGTCTCAGTTTGCTTTTTTTTTTTAAACATGGTCGTTTGGGTGGCACTGCTGTGTCTGTAGTTGAGTCACTTCTTGTCCAATCATGTCCATACACATAAGAGTGAGCAACGGATGGGTCAACAATCGGATAAAACCACAAAACTGTAAACGCTGTTGTTTCCGCCACGATACATAAAGCGCAGTGTGTAATTTTCCATCACTGACTAACCCGTTCCAGTCCCTATCTGTTGTTCCTCTTGATTCTGGTAATTACAGATAAGTACTTTCTCTCCGCTGCTGCGTGATCGACCTTGCTGACCCCCGCGTCCCATATTGCCGAACAATACATCACTTCCTTATCCCTCCATACAGTATCTTCATATCTCCACATTCCAGTGCTTGTTTCGCTGTAGTTTACATCACGTACGGACTCATTTATTTCCCTCTGCGTCACGTCCAGGGCCCAGAACATATTCAGGCAGGCCATGCGCTCCCGGGTCATCCTCTTCCACGTGGTCCCTGCGGTCATGAAGCGGCAGTATGAGCTGCTGACGGGCCACAGCGACCACAGCCTGCACCAGACCAACAGAGTCTTCTTCAGCCAGAAGCCGGGGGACAGGTCCAGTTTGGTGGGAGGGCCTGCGAGTCGGCTCGGACCGCAACCTGGTTTTAATCACAAGTGAGTTGGATTTCATGTTTGTGTTTGCTGTAATGTTCAGACGGACACCTAGAATTAGTGCAGTGTTCGTCAACTGGTGGCCTGCGGGCCAAATCAGGCCCATGACTAGATTCTAACGTGTCATAAACATTACAATAAATAATGTGTTTAAGAAAAATTGGATTTTCATTTCATTTTAGAGGAAAATTCTTGTGTATATTTTCCATATAAACACGTTGCTTTTAGGAGTCAAATAAACATTCGTTTTTGTGTAATACTTGTTTAGCCACCAAGGCCCTCTGTCAGGAAGCACACCAGAGCCAAACAGAAGGTACACCACGTTGTCCCACTCCATGGTGTCCAGGACGGCATCTGCCCCCTCCCCCTCGCTGCAGCGCAGAATAAGCACCAACCCATCCAACAGCTCCTACCTGAAGAACAAAGGCCGCCAGTTCAACATCCAGTTGAAAAAAGGTAAACGGCAGAAAAAAAGGATGTGGAATTACTGTATGTAGACATAAGGTGGAAAATTAGTACAAAAAATGGCTCCCCTACTGGTCTGTAAATGAATAGATTAGCAATCAGTAATGTTGATGGATTTGGGTTCAGTTCAGTGATCCAAACCAACTATGAAGTACAAGTCCATTTTGATGCACTTTTACTAGAATATTCAGATTGACCAATCACGTTCAAGGTCTTATTGGTTTCTTGGGTTGTGAAGTGATCACCACAGGGGGCACCAGTCTCTTCCTCTCTTGTCTTTATGGTCTCCTCTTCCTATTAGAGTTTGCAAATGTTTAGTTGAATCTTTGGGAATGAGATCAGTGTCAGGAAGCAGCAGCACAGGCAGAACTGCACTTCACCTCATGGGATGACCAGTCTTAGCCTTTTTTTAACCTTATTGTCAGAAGTGCCCAGAAGCTCCTGTGCAAGTTTCAAGTATATTTATTTGTTTATAACGTAATAAAATACTTCTCTTTTCCCTCTACGTCGTTAGTTCCCTTTATAAATAAAGACATGAGAGTCAGGAGTTGGTGGCGCTCCAGCTACAGACCAATGCCAGTAGTTTCTTTTCTTTTATTTTCCTTGCAGCTGCAGTGAGCTGTGGACAAATGTGCTCGGTGACAGAAATGGTTACTGGAATGGCCTAATTGTAAATTCCCGGCAAGTTATTACCCAAATGTGTTTCAGCTAGGATTTTAATTAAACATTAAAATCTAAAAGAGTGTAAAATGTGAAGTCTTTCGGATTAAACGTCACGCTGTAGCACGACTCCTATTGTAGTTACAGTGAGGGCTCAGCTGTTAGCATGCCGTATGTTTGTTGTTGTTCCAATCTGGCCTGAGTGGTTCTGAGTTCTGAGTGGCAGAGGGGAGATCTTGCATTGCAAATTAACAAGAGTGCCTTAATCAAATAGTGCAGTTGAAAAGGACATATGCAGCCCATTAAGTCATTGTAATGTGCTTCAGCCACTCTGCACATTTGCAGTTTAATTGGCTTATTGGAGCCAGGATTCTAAATAATCCAGAAAAGGAACACAATTACTTTTATCATGGCCTTCTATTACCCAAAATAAAGACGTCAGTAGTTAATGACTGCAGGCCTATTAGAGGTGCATTTCCCTAATTGGCTGATAGGAGATGAGAGGATCACACGATCACAGGCTGGAGTTGGACTCTGTTCAAAAAGGTTTGGTGTGGACCAGAGATTGGCATGTGTTGGATTAGGTCACCGTCCATGTTGCTTTAGAAGATTCAAGATGGCACTGATGCTCTATCCATCTATCCATCTAGTTGAAACATGCAACAGGCAAGAGAAACAGGTTCAAATTCACTTCCTGTTTCTCTTGTAACATTTGTAAATATTGCAACCATTGCTGGTGTGGTGTCAGGGATTTGTTACTTTTAAATAGTTGGTAAAGAGTAAAAAAAAAAAAATATATATATATGTATATGTGTATATATGTATGTATATGTGTATATATATATACATATATGTATATATATTTTGTTTATTTTAATAACGAAATGTAATATTTTCCACAAGCAAACATTTAAAAAAAAATATATATATATAAGTATTTTTACTTGTTTACTGCATTCACATATATACGCAAAAAAAAAAAAAAACTCACAGTGCATGTAAAACTTTTACACTCACCGTTTTAAGACTACACTTTGACTGAGAACAACGTCATCTGATCACTTGTGAGCTGCCTAATTTGGTCACCTGTTCCAGGTCTGTTGCAGCTAAATATAGATTTTCTTTTTTTTGTCCTTCCTCGAGGCAACGTGTTTTGCATTAAGTGATAAGAAAAAGTTTTTCTTGCACAATTTGAACACAGCCATTTCCTTAACTAGGATGACATCGGCGAGTTTAAAGAAAACAAAAAAAGTATATATATACATATATGTAAATGTAGGTGTACCACAGCTTGTTTGGTACTCTCAACTACGCTATTGGATTAGAGGCTGGTAGGTTTCTGACTTGTGCTGTCTGTGGGCAGAAGCCATGAAAACGTCAACACTGGTGCTTTTCTCTCCTTCTTTCTTGTTCTTCAACCCCACCATCACTGTCAGTGAGACGACAGACAGTTCAGCAGACTGTTGCAGAGGCGCACTGGGGAAAGTAGGTCAGGATGAACCATCAGAGGTGTTGACAGCCCTGTAAAATATTCATCTACTCTGATATGAATATTAATTACTAGGTTTTTTTTTGTTCCACAATATCCCAGCTGAAATGATGAAAACATCCAGATTCCAGACTAGACTGTTTGTTATAAATGGTGAAATATTTATGTAGTAGTGTTATTTATTTTTGAAAATTAATTGTCCAACAATAACAGACCAAAATAATTGGCTATTCTCCTTGCCTGGCTGACATTTGAAACAGTTCTTTAGTCTTATTTTGAAAAATTTCAGTCTGGATGGTAGTAAAGGTCAGTCATCAAACGCTCGTATTTGTCTGTTATTGTATTTACCCACTTCCTCGAGAGCTGCAATACATATTAATTTGATGATCCTCAAAGGTCAGCCTAAAACCCTAAGGTAAAAGGCCGATACTTAAAATGTTTTTGTTTTGATTTAACCTTTATATGTTTATATGAAGCCTCACTTCTTAAAAAGAAAAAAAAAAGATAAATTCAACACAGATATCTACTCATCTGTACATCAGGAAAAACAACAACACAGCTACAAGGATTATTATTATTATTATTTAAGTGGTAGTTGGAGGTACATTTGGTGGAAATTTTCACTGTTGATAATAAGTTTAACATTACTATATTTTAGATATTTATGACTCTCTGGATAAGAGATGTTTCATATCTGATCAAAACTCGTCTCGGTGGCTTCAGTCTGTACATGTACTTATCCCTGAACACTTCATTTATGGTTTTTACCATTGACACTATATTTAGACTTCAGGACATGTAGTCATTTATACGTCTTTAAAAACCTAGGTCAGACACACCCAGATGTCCAAACAGTGAACGAAAATGTGAGCTCGGAACGAAGTGCCAGGTTTGTGCAGGAGTAACAGGACGAGCAGAGCACCGTAATTTTGTCCCTTTGCACATGTTACAGTGGCTTGTAATGAAAAGTTATTGGATATGGATTTAAGGGCTTAGTCTATTTCTTGGAGTCACAGTCAGCGTAATATATGAAAAAGAAGGGTCTTCTGATAGGCAATTATTATGCAAATGAACAGAAAAAACATTTTTCACAACCTCATTTTTGGTCCATCGTGTTGCTGACAGTCATCAAAGTTACCGCCACGCCAGCAAAGCCAATACAATCACATGCATTTCAATCACTTCAATCACAAATCAGGTTACAATGGTGAAGAGAAAAAAGAAAATAATAATAATAATAAATATATATATTCACAATATATATATTTAAATACACAATATATATATATTGATATATGTATATATATACACTATATATATAAAAATACACAATATATATACTTATACATACATTTATACATATAAAATCTGTATATGCTAATTTTACTCTCAAGTCATTCTTGCTGCTACTTTTCTATGTGTTTATTTATAGTATATTAAATGTACTTTATTCCGTTATCTTTTTTTAAAAAAAAAAGTAAGATGGTCTGTATTGCCCTTATTATATTTCCTTCCTTATTTTAGGACCAGAGGGTCTGGGCTTCAGCATCACCTCCAGAGACGTCCCCATTGGTGGCACCGCCCCCATTTACGTCAAAAACATCCTCCCCCGAGGGGCCGCAATCCAGGACGGGAGATTGAAAGCCGGAGATCGGCTGCTGGAGGTGAGGCAGCTTCTTTTAATCTCAACTCGTAACTTGTCGAGTGAGTTTAGCATGTCATTCAACCGGATGACGGCTCGTTATGATACGGCATTGTTCCAAAATTAGTGAACTCTGGGCGAACTCCCGAAACGAGTCTGTGTGTCTCCTGGCTGTGAGAGCTGGTTTAAAAATGGCAAAGGTCAGCGGTTAGACGCTGGAACAGTTTGATTAAACCTCGATCAGACTGACATGAAAATCATCTTGAGCTCACTTTGGGAGGAAATCGCCCACGTTTAATTTCTGCTCAACTGGCTCAGACAGTAATCAGCCTGTGAGGTTATATGAAGGCCACACACTCACTCGCAGTCAAGTCAAGAGCTCTTTCATTTAGTCCGGCTTTGGTGTGTGTGTGTGTGTGTGTGTCATTTACAGGTTAGCGGAGTGGACCTCGGTGGAAAGACCCAGGAAGAAGTGGTGGCCCTGCTTCGAGCCACGCCCATGGGTGGGATGGTGAACCTGTTGGTGACCCGACAGGAGGACCCGCTCCTGCCTCGAGAAGTGGTCAGTGCCTTGTCGTGTCAGTGTCTATATTGTATATTTCACCAGATGCTGAGCAGTGCAGTTGGACGTCTTATTTTTTCTCGTGGTGTAAACCTGATCAGTGTGTGAACTAAAAAAAACCCATTTCGGAGCGCTAAGAATTGCAACAGTGGCTGCTCAATGTATCCTGACGTAGTAAAACAAACGGATTTCTTTCCTGTTCAGTTCATGTAACGGAACATTAATAACGACTAGTTCTTCCGACCAAAGTTTTGATAAGGACCAGAGGGCTGTGAATTCACACAGAGACCCTCAGCAGCAGTAAAATGAATCTATGAAACCGGTGAAGGTCAGTAACAGTGTGACATTCTATACGGCTGGATACACTGAGGTGCCCTGAGCTGACGGTTTTACACTCCTCTATGAATGAAATAAATCGTAATGAAAATTAATACAGTGAGATAATAGAAACTGAAATATCATATTTTAAAAACCACAATATTATTATTACATTGTATAAAAGTAGTAAAAAAAATGTTAAGAGACACATAATCTTTGTGCATTTGCAAAACACATGTTTACATTGTATAAAAGTAGTAAAAAAAAATTCAAGAGACATAATCTTTGTGCATTTGCAAAACACATGTTAACATGCATGGCATGCAGAAAAAAAACAAAATCACAAGCACAAAAACATGGGCAAAAATGTGACAGTGAGCACAGTAACGGTGACATGGGAACTTTTCCCACACACACACACACACACTCAAACACACATGCGGGGTGACTTTGGCTGTCACACAGCAGATGGCGAGGCTGCCGCCCTCGTCCGGTCTGAGCTCGGACGCCCTGACAGCGAGCGTGACTGAATTCAAGCCTCTTTTCTACCCATAATGCTCAGGCCCCTGACATTCACGCCGTTAACCCCGCTCTCCGAGCTATTCGGCCTCTGCAGCAATGGCCCCTAAGGAAAAACTCTGCCCTGCCGCTGTGCTTTTTAGTTCACTTAGACGCACACGTCGAACGTAGCCTCGTTTAGCTTGCTACGGTTGTAGGCAAATATTTTTTAATCAGAAAACACATGCAGTGGTACGCCGTACCACCTGAGAAAACATTGAGCTCTCTGAGTACCACCATGATGACCAGCATTAGAATATAGGCCTTCACTATTAACTTCCACCGTGGTATGTTTCAGATTTATTCAATTGAAAATGTAAATGTGAAGATATTAATTTTCCACGCGTTCCACTAGAGAGCGCTCGCGTACCACTGGTGGTCCGCGTATCACAGTTTGAGAACCACCACTCTACACTATTGCAACAGACAAAGTTATTGATTTGTACTTTTGGGAGTGTTAATCTTGCTGCGATGACACGTGGAATCATGGATTCTCCGCCTCACGTGTAACCTTTAAGTCAATGCCCTCCATCCACTGTAACCAGCGCTCACACTCTAACCACCGCGATACAGTGCTTTTCATTCTCCCCTCAACGACCTCGGCTGAATGACGGCAGTGAGATCTGTTAGAACCGCTGCCCTGAGACTGTCAGCTCCAGAATAGAGGTGTGAGAGTCTGACGTCTAACTCACTTAGCCCTGCTCCTGCATGATACTGAGGCCCGCAGTGGAAATACTTTATCATCTCTTCTTCTCAGTAGTTTTTTTTTTATTCCTTTCACTTACTTCTACGTGCTATAAAAGATTAATATTCCCTCACTTTCCACGAAATATTAGCATTTTACACTCTCACTGTTTCCTTCTTCACACGCTCGCTCTCTCCTACAGCTGAGCTCGCACGGATCTAATCCCTCCACGTATGTTCATAAAAATCAGATAAGGAGGCCGAGGCAGTTGATACATGGTGGAAAACAATCATACACACGTGTGCTGTAGATGAGCTGTCAATCATCCGGTTACCTTAATGATACTGAGATGATGATTATTTAAATTAGAGCAGGAGCGTCATGCTATAGAAACACAGGCGTCTGTCGGCGCACACGTGCACAGAACTGTGGGTAAAAATAGAGAGAACCTTTTTCTCGTTGACATTTGCCGGCTGATGTTTAATGTCAGGGCTGAAAATCTCCCTTTGTTTAGATGTTTTATTATGTACAGGGCCCAGTGCGTGCCCCCACAGAGGAATTAATTTACCCTCACAGCGTGTTTGCATTGCGTCTTTAATTACCACGGTCGGGGCGTATTTTGACACGCTCTCGCAGCACCTCTCAATACTTTCGATAAACACGCGGTCGCTGTAGAGAGAAAAGGTTAAAAGGCAATCAGAGGAGGACAGCGTTGTCTCCGTGGTTATCAACCGCCTCTGTCTGTGCAGACGTCACTAACGCACGTCAAACCAAATAACAAATGTCATTAAGTTTGGCTTTATTTTCAATGGGGCTGAGTTTGAATTGATTTTAAAAAACAAATTGGCTTTTTCTATTTCTATGCTGATGATTTTATATTTTATCTGTTGATAAACCTGGATGTTATGATGTATTGGTACTAGAGCCAGTACTAGAGAGGGCAAACTTCTCTTATTCACCAAGATAAAGAGTATTTATCGGACATTCACAATGTGTAGGATGACATATTTATGCTAACATTACGACTTTATTCTCATAAATATCCGACTTTAATCTCGCAATATTATTTTATAATTTTTTAAATTCTCAACGTGGCCCTAATACGTTGTAATATATCAGTCTATTTTTATATAAAATATGAACTTTTAAAGGCTAAGGAGGCTTTATCTCAAGCAGGCTTCCTAATCAGCTCTTTAGTAGACTCTTAATGAGTCTGGGAATAAAGCTGGGAGTGACATCCAGCCGTATTCTCATTGAGAGCTTAACCTTAAACCTGGAAAACCCCGGTAGTCACAGGCTCTGATCAATAGCTGTGGAAACAGAGTCACTTGTCAGATGAAGTGCTGCGCCGTCACCTTGCCGTCAGCTTTAAGACGTTCCACCACTGACTCCTGAGCAGGATTAATGAGTCGGACAAAATCCTCTCTCCTGAGTGTGCTGTTTTCTCCTGATAATTTTGAAACTAGCATCTACTAGCATTTATTTTCCATATATACATTTCTGTGGGTCGTACCATACATATAAGTAGCCGAATGTTCCATCCACATGTTCCCCCTTTTAACAGACCTTTAGAACACAGGTTGGCAGTAAGAGTAAATCACACTTGAGGTCAGTTGAAAAGTAAAGGATCTCAAAGAAACTAAAACTTAGGTTTGTTTACAGTGTGATGTAAGGTAGAGTTTGGACTGGAGTCAAAAGACATGTTTTTCTGCCCAGGCTCTCCCCTGTGTAACCTCACACACACACACTCACACACACGCACTCACACAACAATTCTGCCTCAGAAACAAGTGGTACATTTATTGAACTGTATGTACTGCACAATTCCAAAGCCATAGCCGCTAGATATTATTTATTGTGGACATTTATCTCCCGGCGCGCAGCTCTGTTTGAGGTCATAGCTGCAGCTAAAGCCGCGGCTGTAGATCCTGATGCACAGCTGTGTGAAGTGCAGATTGTGTTTCTACTTCACAGTTTCCTGTAATGACCAGGACAAATTCCGTGACTTGCTACGAAACAGGAGTCATCCACACAGAAAAAGTACAGTTTTTATGGATAGAAGATAGTTGCTGAGAAAATTGGTATTCTGACTTTAGATGACTTTAGACTCGCCTTGACAAAATGTATAGACTCGACTTGGACTTCAACATTAATGACTCGGGACTTCACTTGGACTTTGGAGCCGTTTGACTCGACAAGACTTGATACTTTCTCCAAAACCCAAAGTGATCTGTGTAAATATATTATTATTTAGTTTAAAAGGACTAGAAAAGGACTCAAAACCAAAATGGCAGGACTTGACACTTCTTAGTCTTTACTTGAGACTTGATTCGGAAAAAAAGTGCAAAAACTTGTGACTTGCAAAGCAATGACTTGTTCCCACCTCTGGTATTCAGTATAAGGAGTTTATTAATTAGCAGATTAAGTCGTTTTTTGATCCTTGCTGGTAGGAAAGGCTAGGATAGCTGCTAACAGAATATCACCTCACGAAACACCACGGTTTGTTGACATCTAAGAAGTCATTTCTGTGGATAAAGGCATAAAGGCAACGGATGGCCATGCTACTGTGAAGGACATGTTCACGTAATATCGGGTCAGCACTTCTGGTAATTAATGGCCATGCTACTGTGAAGGACATGTTCATTTAATATCGGGTCATGCTCTATGCTATTATGTGTATTTTTCTTTTTTCAAAATATGTATAGTGCAATATTATTTAAATTCACCTTGAAATGATTTCCTATAGTTTCAGTATATTTTTCACTGCTGCCCATTTGCTAACACTCCCTGTCATTTGTATCTCATATAAAACAACTCTAGAATGACTTAACTACACTAGAGACACTGGCTGATTAGTCCCACATGCCCCAGCACTTTATTACCATTGTCGTCTTTTACCCCTAACATGCTTCTTTGACCCTACATAAAGAATGTTTTTCAAATCCAACCAGACTAAATGGGCCTGTGAACCCAGTGTTGTACCACTGCCGATGCCATAAGAGGAATCAAACAGTACATTAAATCCCCTTCTTTATGATCGTATCAGACTTGTCACTGATCCATTAGTAGCTATATCTGCCAAGCAATGAGTATCTTAATTGCACCATTAATTCTGGCCTCTGATTGATGTGACAGCTAAATATAATACGGCCGGTGTGAATGCGGAGGACAAATGTGTGACAGTACTGCCGCTCACCGTTTAATGGCCTTTTCATGAGCGCCAACCCCAGCGGGCCGGGTTTAAATCCTCCCTGTCGTGTTCTGAGCAGAAGGTCTCAATTAAAGTTTGTTTTTCTGCTAAAATGATGATATTTATGCAAGTCAGCGGAATTGTTCCACACAGTATCGTAGGAAATAAACAGCTTTGATTTCTGTACAATAATAAAACCCAACAAGCTCAGCCGTTGTTTTCTCGTTCCAAGCCGAGGCAATCAATGGT